GGGAAGGAATAAAATTTTCATGAAGATTGTTTACAGATATATGTTGTATTGATAAGTTTTTCAACTAACAAGTAACATACACTTGATATTGTTTTTACTTGAATCTTCCCATTGAATAAATGAATAAAACTTCAACCCATTGCACAAGCAAGTGGCTATCAGGACTCAGTAGCTAAGTGGATAACGCGATGACGTTTGAAGCGAACGGTACTGAGTTCGAGTCCCAGAGTGAACATCAACTCTGAGATGCAGGTACATCCAGTTGACGAGTCCCAAACAGGACGAAACGCGCGTCCTGGATTCCACTGCTAGCCACTATCCATATTTGCTTATAACAAGTAACATAGTTAAAAGATAGATTTTTCTTCTAAAAAATTGATTATTTTCTAAATGATGAACAGTGGCGCGATTTCGTGAATTGGTTTAAGTTAGCCATTAACACCACTGAATACCGACCAGTTCAGTGTTCTAGAAGTTAAGTGTTCGTGCACGAGACTGATAAGTCATGAATTCAAATCTCGTGAAGCAGGATCATGGAGGTGTCCCATACTGGGACAAAACGGCCATCCAGTACTTCTAGGTTTTCCATGTTGATCTATTAAATATTTTCTTTCTATGTTAATCATTATCATAATTACCGTTGATACTTTTATACTATTAGACCCTCTATATTGAAGATAACAGAATCTTTCATTTTAACAAGTAAACACTAGAATATTATCAAGTTCATTTGTTTTTATATACACTCCAATTATTATCAGTATGTTTCTTTAATGACTAAACCATCACTGATTCTACACTTCAATGAAGCGAGAATCATTTAAAAGTTAATTAAATATTGAATGAGATATAGTTGTTGTTTTTTGTCAATCATAAGAAAAACATACATCCAATTGTTTCAGGGTATATTAAGCGGAAAAATTAAGTAGTTTAGGAGGTTTTTTTGACGAAAATCCAAAATCCATATATATATATATATATATGTATGTACACACGTACAAGAGACTATTCATGGACTGGAACAATGATGAACGGGGGTTCATAATCTTTTTTTTTCAAAGGTTAAGTTGCTGGTAGAAATTTGTTGTTTCGTTGTGTTTTTTTTCTTCAATGTTGTAACTCTCTATTTAGTTGATGTGAGATTAAAAACAAAACAGAAAATACACTTATAATAATTGTGGTATAAAATGACAAAAATAGTAGACGAAGAAATTGAGGGGGCGGGAGAGGTGATAAATTAAGGACTATTAAAAGATATGAATATACATTTCAGTTTAGAATAAAAATCTGAACGCAAAACGATTTGGAATCTTGATGAATAAAGGAAAAAAAATCCATTTTGCAGGTGTAACATCAACTTTGGAAGTAATCTTATCTATGTAGATATGCACCTATGTCAAAGACGACGTCTGTGTGTGTGGGGGGGAGGGAAACAAAGGAGGGGGAGGTTTTTTGGTGCATATTCAAGGTTGTGTACATGTCTATGCATGTGGGTGTGGGTGAAAGAGAGTGAGAGAGAGAGAGAGAGAAGGAGAAAGAGAAGAGTGTGATCACACCATATCATTTCACAATAGATGAATAAGCCTAAAGTTAAAGTGTTAATTTGTAATAATGGAATCAAACAATACAGAAATGAAAAAGAGATATCGTTTATTTTAATGGATCAATGAACTTTGATTATCATTAATATTCTTCTGAATATTATTAGATTTATGGAGAATGAACAAAAATTTGTAAAACACCTTTGTTAGATTGGTGTAAACCACAGAAAGAATGAAATTAGTACTCTCTATCTAGTGTGAAACCAATTTATCTACCTTGTCTATCTATTAAACGACGTTAAATAAATTTAATGAAACGTAAAGAAAAAAAGTTAGTGAATTTTTCACATAAAAAAGTTCTCAAAACAGAAGTCATGAATGGTGGATTTATGTTGATGAGGATAGATAGATAGATGTGTTGACAGATAGATAGATAGATAGATAGATATTTTCACAGATTTAAATCATGAGTCAGTTGAAGCTAGACCACCATTGAAAACCTGGAAGCACTGGACGGCCGTTTCGTCCTAGTATGGGACTCCTCAGCAGTGCGCATCCACGATCCCGCACCACGCGGGGCTCGAACCCAGGACCTACTGGCTTCGCGCGCGAGCACTTAACCATTAGACCACTGAGCCGGCATCCAACGGTGTTAATGTCTAACTTCAACCAATCCACGAAGTTGCGCCACCATATACCATTGTCTTCAGTGAGCTGATATCTCACAACAGACCTGGTTGAACTCCACTAATAACTGCTTCCCACTAGAACTCCAGGAGTATCTCTTGAAGTCAGTCACTAGTGAGCAGATGATTATTATCAGAAGGGGTTTGTGGAGATTTTAGAAATTTTCACAGATTTAAATCATGAGTCAGTTGAAGCTAGACCACCATTGAAAACCTGGAAGCACTGGACGGCCGTTTCGTCCTAGTATGGGACTCCTCAGCAGTGCTTCCAGGTTTTCAATGGTGGTCTAGCTTCAACTGACTCATGATTTAAATCTGTGAAAATTTCTAAAATCTCCACAAACCCCTTCAGATAGATAGATAGATAGATAGATAGATAGATAGATAGATAGATAGATAGATAGATAGATAGATAGATAGATAGATAGATAGATAGATAGATAGATAGAAATGATCTAATAATTTACCAGTGAACATCCATCAGGATATATACAATCTTAATAATTAACTGATGTTGACTTACTGTTAAAATGTCAGAATCAATGGACAGATTTATTGGTAGTAAAAGTGATCACCACTAATCTGAAGGTTAAGCATAGAGTATTAGGTAAAAATACTAAATGTTTTGATATAAAATTGTAGATGTAGACTACTTGGAATCATTGATAACTATGATCGATGGTTAGAGACATTAGATGAAATAGCTTGGAATTAGAAGCAATACCACATATGTATTCATTCTTAATGTTCTTCTAAATTTGCAACCTCATTAGTTTTTCATATACACCTTTTCATATAATATTTTCAATGTTAAATCTTTTGTAGTATAATAACTACTATTTGCCAAAAACCATCCAGTATTCTCAGATTGTTGATAACTGTATAACTACGATCAAGTTGTCAGTTGGAGGAAGTACAAAAATGAAACGAAATTTCAGAGAGTTACATCCTTTAATAGTTGAATTCATGAGAAACAGTGACCAATGGAGTTCGGTCCGTGTCGGGTAGAGACAGGAATCTACCTCAGATAATGGATGAATGGTTGCGTAGACATTCATGGATCGATGTAAGTTAAACATCAACACTGTTGGATGCCGGCCGGCTAAGTGGTCTATAGTTTAAGTGTTCGTGGGTTCCGATCTCACGGGGCGGGATCATGGATGCGCATTGTTGAGGAGTCTCATGCTAAGACGAACCGGTAGTCTAGTACTACTAGGTTTTCAGTGGTGATCTAACTCAGATTGACTCATGAATCTAACTATTGAAATTACTACAATCTCAGTTAGCTTGCTATTGTAGCCGGAAGTATACGTGTTGATTGTTTTTAACGGTCTGGTCAAACAGGACATTAGTCCCTGTTTGATGATTCATCATTTTTAGTTATCTTGTTCATACAACAATTTGTTAATTCATCCATCATTTCTTGTAAGAAGAGAAGATTTTATGAAAATGAAAGTCTATATAAAACCTTAATCATCATTGTTTAGATTACTGAAATGTTGCAAGATCATATTGTTTACCACGTTTTAATTATCAACCGATATCCATGAAAAAGGTAGTTTTATTCGTTTCACTGAAGTTGATGGAAGAGTATGTATTTTATTAACTTCTATTTGGGGATTACAAATATGTATCAAAACCTAGATAGAAGACTAATTGCAATCAAATTTCAATAGTGATTAATTCAATTTATAAATGCATTTCATCACACGTTGACATCAATAGAAATATCACAAAAAACCAGTGTTTCTTAGCTGTTTCGACCAAAATGAAACACTTCTTCAGTATATATCCATTCGGGCGATATAGTCATGGAGCATAGTATATAATGATGATCTATGAGAAAATATCGCGAATTAATTGAAACGAAAATTGTGAATCACTGGATTTGAATTTCTTATTCTTAAGGCCAGGTATTCATTTGGAGAATTGAAGGTTCTTGGTTCAAACTAGGAAGTTTTCAGGAATGTAAACTGTCGAAAATTTTTTACACTGTATAGAACTAGACTAATCATTCATTTTACATTTATTATCGGTGAAATTTCACATTCCTATATGAAATATTCATGGAATCGTATTCTATTTTAAAGATTTCAATATCCCAAAATATTGTTGAAATAATTCATGTTCCCCTTATATAAATCTTGGTGAAGTGGGTGTAACCTTCATAATAGAATGATATCTATCATGTTTGAACCCGTTTGTCTCTATAATGGCTACTTTATCAATTTGGTAAAATAAGATATTGTTATACAAAAGTTGCAAATCTTTTTGGTATAGACTGTTAAAATTCACTTGAATTCAACTTTTTAATATGGGAAGGAAATAAGTATATTGATGTTTAATTTGTATGGTTTTTCATCAGGCAAATTGTAGTCAATAATGATGTAGAAAAAGAAATCATAAATTAAAAACTTTTTAATGATTGAATTCAGTGGTCAAGCTAAGCTAGATCACCGCTGAGAACCTGAAAGGATTAGACGGCCGTTTCATCCTAGTATAGGACTCCTCATTCATGCACATCTACAATGCTGCATGAAGGACTCGAATCTAGGAACTTCAGTCTCGGACGCCAACACTCAACCTCAAAACCATTGTGTCAGTATTCAACGATGTTATTTTTTAACTTCAATCAATCCATGATTTTGTACAACCCGTCCAGTGCTTCCAATTTTTCAATGGTGTTCTAACTTACTACAATCTCCACAACTCCTCATTCTAACTATGTATTATAAATCTATTTTAATTATTTTATTTTATTTTTCCTTAATAGACAAATGATTATGGTATTAAACCCAATTCTTGGGAATGTTCTGATTTAAAAAATGACTTAACCCAAAATGAAGCACTTAGTAACAATCAACAATACCAACAAGAACTATTAAATGTTCCATTTATTACGTCACAACATAAACCATATCAAAATTTAAGATATACTGGTAAAAATTTTCCCAATAATTTACAACATTCAAATAGAGAAATGAAAGAGCCGGATAAAAGTGAATTGGACAACTTAGAAGTATTTTCATCAGATAGATTAACGCATAGTTTAAATTATTCAACACCTACTTCATTATACCATCACCATGATCATCATCGTGATCAGGATCATCATCATCATCAACAACAACAACAACAATATGCTAATCATTTAAATTATCCTTCTAATTATCAAAAAACTAATTATAATCTTTATCACCAACCAAATAATGATCCTGTATTACATTCATCAATACCTATAGATCTTCATGAATCATCCATTTATTTTAGACAACCGAAAGAAATGAATAATAATACCTCAGAGATTATAATTTCAAATTATTCAGAACAGGAAATAATAGAAAATAAACTCTTGTCAAATGGAAACATACCTAACTCATTAGATCATTTATCCAATTCGTCTAAATCAACATCAATAACAACAACAACATCATCATCATCAGCAGCAGGAGTAGCTGCAGCAGCTGCATCAAGAGCATCGATGGAATTACATATTGGAGAAATCAATGAAGTTCATTCAAATCAATATGGTAATCTAAGTACAGATTTTCATTTAATTCATAAAAATGAAAATGATTTAACAGAATTTTCAAATTATACACCATATTTAAATAAATTATTTTCATCTAAAGTATTATTTAATCATATACAACAACAATCATTAAGTCAACAGCATACTACTGATAATAATTTAATAAGTAGTAGTGGCAGTAATAATAATAATAGTAATGCATGTAGTATAACAAATATTATTAATGATAATCTATATACTAATAAAAAACATCATGATTCAAATGTATTATTATCAACAACTATTTCACTTTTTCCTACTCATACTACTTATACTACTGGTACATGTAGTAGTATCAATGAGAACAATTCAAATCATAATAAAAATTATACCGCTACTACTACTACTCCTGCTGCAATTATGGATTATGAAAAATTTCAACCAAATGATTATAAATTATTATCTGAAAAGGGTTTACTGAAAACAATGGAGCATCACTCTTCGTCTTCTTCATCATCATCGTCATCATCATCATCATCGTCATCCACTTTTGAGTCTCGTGATATAAAATATCCTAATATACAAATATTGAATGATAAAATACAATCATCATCATCACCACCAATATCCTCTTCACATTCTCCGATAAGAATAAATGAAATGAATAATTCAAATATAATAATGACAACAAATAATTCATTATATCGTTGTATACCTTCAATTCATCCTCCAACTGTAAATGTTTATTCACAAGTTATAAATTCAACTCATTCAAAACAGCCAATCTATCCACGAATATCAACAAATGATTTGTCAATAGAACATCCTCATTTTCATATACGGAATAATGGTAACAAAACTGGTAACAATAATGTTAATAATAATCCATATCCATTCAGTGGGAATTTACCACATCCTCATCATCATCCTCCTCCTCCTCATCATCATCATCAACAACTTTTATCTAGATCAGTTCAAAATTCTAATAATACTCATTTACATCATTCAGTTTATTTAAATAATGGACATTTAAGAAATTTCAATCAAACTAATGGTCCTAGTATTGGACATACAAATCATCATGGGTAAGAAAATAAAACTTGTTCAATACACTGAATACTGATTGTAGCGTTGTATACAGGCTACTCTAGATAAGATATTTTTTTTCGTAAAAGAATAATTTCAAAGGATCTGAATCTGAGGATTGCTTCGATCGATTGATTGAGATAAAGAACCGATTGATGTTAAATCACCATTGAAAACTTGGAAGCACCGCTGAGGAGTCTCACAATAGGAAGAAACGGCCGTCCAGTGCTTCCAGGTTTATAATGGTGGTCTAACATCAATCGGCTCTTAATCTCAATCAATAACATAATAATCTCCACAATCCTATACTGATCGATTAATTGAGTTATATTATTCAATGGTTAGATACTGTGTAGATTAGGTAAACAGGACAAATCGGTTGCAAATTTTTATCAACTGAGATGATCGAGATATGTATTTGCGTACAGTTAACCACCGATTGGTGTGACGTGTGATGTTCGCTGGTACATGAAATGAAAAGATTAGAATCAACCTATTGACTGATGGTTTGAATTATTCCCATTTAAATATGTTGAGAGAATGTTTGAGATAAATATATATAACTGTGATAATTTTCATGGATAATGAATAGATCAACAGTTTGAAATGAGTTAACCCATATACATTTAACATATTTATCTATTTTGGTAATAGACTTGAAAGATATCAGTCTAAGTAATGTTATACCTTTTATCATTATTTATTGAAACACATAAACATTAGTACAAGGAGGCACCAAATATATACATGCGCTACACTTTGTCATTCGATATGTGTGAGGGCTGAAATACTGCCTGGGTGCCCAAACTGAAGCAGGTGGTTTTCTTAGAAGGTCACTCTCTGAGCCTTTGACTTAGTAGTACAATCCACAAGGTAATGGAGTGACGAAAGGAGATGCAGTCCCATGATAGCCGGCGACCAACAATGGTTTCATACGGCGTTTGTTCATTCAGAATTGTGGAGCCCATGTGAACAATTGGTTTGGTTTTCCAACCCCCCCTAGACGAACCTTCCCTATACACCAACCAGGTTAAAGCTCCGGAGATTTGCTTTCCATCCTCTAGATTTTGTAACCAACAAGCCCTCCACGAGAAGGCAGAGAGTGGGACTTCCTTGACAGTAGCTGTATGCGTAACCATATGAGAGCATTTCCAGATGGAGAGTCGACTCTCCCCACCTTGACCGCACCAGGGCATATAGGCATTTATGTATTTCAATCAACAATAAAAAAAATAACATTATGAATTTATTTAAGTAATATAACAAATTTATTAGAATAAAATGTCATTTTTATTTAATTTTAATTAGATTTACTTATGGTCTTGATGGTACACGACGTAAAAATGCTACTAGAGAGAGTACTACAACATTAAAAGTTTGGTTACAAGAGCATATGAAAAATCCATATCCTACTAAAGGGGAAAAAATAATGCTTGCTATTATCACAAAAATGACATTAACACAAGTAAGTTGATTTGATGATATATACATATATTACATGTTATATGAAATGATTATTATGTTCCAATGTAAAAATGGTTAGAATTAAAAACTTTGAACCCTTGTTTGTATACTGATTAGAAGTGAACATTAAGGTGTATTTATAATCTTAATGGAAATTTATAACACTTGAAAGATTTCAACATCTAACCGTCAGTTTTTTTGTCTTCAGTGTTATCATTAAGCTAATTTGATTACAATTTAATAGTTGAATTCATGAGTCCATGTAAGCTAGACCACCATGGATTATGGATGCGTACTGCTGAGGAGTCACACAATGGGACGAAATGGCCGTCCAGTGCTTCCAGATTTTCCATGGTGATCTAGCATTATTTGACTCATGAATTCAACTATTAAATTACTATAATATAAACAAAAATCCTTCTCTGCTTACAATCATCATGTGCTCACTAGTGACAGTCTCCAAGATGTATTTCCTGTAGTACTGATGACAAGCCATGACCAGTGGAATTCAACTGGGTCTTTTGTGAGATAGTAACTCACTGAACACATTGGCAGACGGTGGCGCAATTTCATGGATTGATTGAAGCTAGACATTAACACCGTTAAATGCCGGCCAACTCAGTGATCTAGAGGTTAAGTGTTCGCGCCTGACACTGATAGGTCCTGGATTCGAATCTCGTGAGGCGGGATCGTGGATGCGCTTTGTTGAAGAGTCCCATGTTAGGATGAAACGGCTGTCCTCAAATTTAATTTAAAATATCGTTTTGATAACTTACAGTTTCTACAAGAAAGGAAGTTATTTATTAATTGAGATTTCGGTTTATACGTAAAGAACGTTTATGACTTACATATCGAACTTTTTAGTGGAGCCCTTCATTTTGACGTCAATTAGATCGGACGATGCTATCTATGGGCTAACCACTTTAGTGGCTCGATATCCGACTTCATTTGGATCGTGTGAATGTAATTAAAATAAACAATCCGCCAAATTCTCGTATAAAATTATCTACCTAACTGGTGAAGCGAATAAAGCCAAGAAGAGGGAGCGAAGCGAAATGCCTCGCAGCAGAGAAGGCATATGAGTCAATTCAGTTTAATCAAGCTAAAATCATATGATGAATAAGGTAGGAAATACATACATATACGCTTACATTAAAACAGTTAAGATTAACAAGTGAATAATTAACAAAGTCAAAATGTAGCTTGGAAAGAATGGATAGATTAGTTTGTCCAAAAGCCAGAATGAGTTTTGAGAGCATGACATAGTGCCACTCAGATTAGATGGTGGTTAGAGGTAGTCGACAGGATACCCTGGACTCGGGTTTCGTGCTACTTGGCACTCGTCAGCAAGGTGTGCCCGTAATCTTGAGGGAACAGATACTCCCTGACGCATTTGATCCCGTGTTACTCAGCTTCACAGTCAGAGACGTTACCACTGAGCTATCCGGGCAGCGACTGACCTCCTGTAGGACTGAGATGTAATCACAATTGATTGATCACTGGGTGGTGATCAATGTCATGTGTGTCAAGTCCTTATTTAGTGCAGGTCGAATGCTATCGATCATGCTGCACTGTGGCCACCAGTCTAGGTGACTCGACATTGCGGTCACTATATATTGAGATTAGATGATGAATGGAGATAGTCGACAGGAAAACCTGGACTCGGGTTTCGTGCTGCTTGGGACTCGTCAGCAACGTATACCTGTAATCTTGAGGGAACTGGTATTGTACTCAAATCCCTCTTTGATCACTAACATTAAGATTCAAGTATACCTAATTGACGAGTTCATTGACTAAACCACTAACCATAAGTATTATTACTCTTTTTTAATTGTTCTATCTTCTTTTTCTGTTAGTTACAATTCTTCGCTTAATCTATATTCATATTAACAAATCATAATATTGTCTAATTATTAGGTTTCAACATGGTTTGCAAATGCTAGACGACGTTTAAAAAAGGAGAATAAAATGAGTTGGCCACCTAAATCAATTGGAAGTAATAATAGTATAGAACAGAAAAGTCCAATCAATTTAAATTCCGCACAAAATTCAAATATAAATCATCATGTAAATAATGAAAAATCTATTGAACATTTAATGAAATCAACTAAAAAACTTCAAAATAATCAAGATTTAAATGAAGATGAAATAATTTTAGAAGGAGATATCGATGATGATCATGATGAACAGATGGTTGAAGATGAAATCGATGGTCATAATGATAACGAAGATCATAATGATGATGATGATGATGGTGAAGATGATAATGATGACGACAACAACGACGATGATGATGGTGATGATGGTGATGACGATAATGAACAAAATGATAATGGTGAATTTGATGAAGATTATAATGATGTTGTAGAAGGTGATCTTGTAGCGAATAAACATAATTGTAGACAAAATTATTTAAATTCCTCACATCATAATTTTCAATCAATTCCATCATTTCTATCACATTCAAATCATGATTCTTCAATTTGTGAACAATCTACAAATCGTTTTAATTTGAATATAATTCCAAATGAAAGAAATTCTGAATTATTTCATTATACTACTAATACTTATCTTACATCATCATCACAAACATTGCCACATTATAGTCATTTATCAAATGTTCATTATGATGATAATAATAGTCCAATTGGAATACGTAATTCACACACAATGAATGAATACCTACTTTCTAATAGTATTAATACTACTACTACTACTACAAATACTACTAATACTATGCATAGTAGTATTAATAGTACAAGTATTGAAACGAATATACTTTCTAAATTACAACCTCAATCAAAATCATTTCATTTTTCTTATGAAATTCCTTCAGATATAAATCAAAATTCTTTATATTCAACAATGAAATATCATAATTCAATTCATTCTACTATTTCATCATATTTACCTACAATTATACAATCATCAACATATTACACTTCATCTATACCAATGATGAACAATAGTACGAATACTACAGTGAATTATCAACATTCAAATCTTGTATCCTCCTCCTCCTCATCATCATCACCATCATCATTATCATTATCATCGAATTCATTGATTCATAATGAACAAATTCCATTAAGTCAATCTATTAATTATCCACATTCTTTAATATTAAAGCATAATAAACAATCATTAATGAATACAGATATGATGTACAATACAAAATGTCTTCAATCCAACTTTTGTTAATATTTATATACCGGCCCCCCCCCTCTGACGAAAGGAACAAAAGAAACACTTTAGTGTAATAATATTTCATATAAACTTCATATTGTCTTATTACGTAATACATTGATTGTAGATGACAATAAGTATGTAATATTAGTTTTATCTGTATGCATAGTACAAATGTGGAGAAGATTTGTAGTTCAGGTCGATGAATATGATGGAATTTTGTACTTTGAGCTGGATAGTTTGGTCGTGGAATTTTCATCGTTCTTCTAAATGACTTCAAACTTCACTTCTATCTGAAGTTTGTGCTGATGATATCGTTTAAAGATGGACGATGAAAGTTCCATAACCAAACTATTCAGTTCAGAGAATAAAACTCCATCATAAATACAAATGTATTGAATCATATGAGAGTCAATGTGTTTTAAAGAGTTATAAATTCAAATATGTATACAATGTACAATTATTCCAACCTTCTTTATATTTCTATATATATATATATGTGTGTGTGTTTATGTTGAGTAGAAATAATAAGCGGGAAAAAGTCTTCTTCTAACGAATAATTTACCAGTGATTGTTACACTTTTATTATTATGATGATTATCTTAGATACAATGAAACAACAGTTTAAAGAAAAAGTATATATGTATGTATATTGTGTTGTGTTCTTCTTCTCTCTTGGATCGTATAAATGGTTATCCTCGTACATGATTATTAACTTAATCCGGATTAGCGAATAATCGAATTGAATATAAGTGAAATACGAGAATGGATTTTGAATATGTATATTTCATGCACTCACTATTTGAATTGTACAGGTAATTAGGAAGACGAAACAAAGATGAAAAAGTGAATCAGATTGGAGAAGGTAAGTGAGACAACTCAATTTAGCAAAGCGTAAATTGATATTTATAGTTGAACAAAAATAAGTTACAGATATGTGATGAGTAGGATAGGCAGTGCACACACATACGCATACATAAAAACAGTCAAGGTTGATAAGCGGATAATTGACAAGGTCAAAATGTGACTCAACAAGAATGGATAAACTGGCCTATCCAAAAGCTAGAATAAGTTATGTGTGGTTTACATAGTAACCGATACTACAAAATAACAGATTCACCTCTACATTAAGTAATCACCAATGTTATTTTTCAAAACTAGAGTGAATACATCTCAATCAAAACTCATTTATCTATTTATTTATTTATTCAAACACATAAATATTGGTACTAGGAGGCACAAAATAGATATGCGCCACATAAATCATTCGACTTGTGTGAGGGCTGGGATACTGTCCGAGTGCTCAAACCAAAGCAGATGGTTTTCTTAGGGGGCCACACCCAGAGCTCTCGATCTAAAGGTCTAATCCACGTGGCAGTGGAACAACGTCAGGAGATGCAGCCCCATGATAGCCGGTGATAAACAATAGGTTCATACGTCATTTGTTCCTTCAGGATACTGGAGCCCATGTGCACCATTGTTTTGGAACGAGGGTTTTTCAACTCCCCTAGGTGGACTCTCCATGTCCACCAACCTGGTTAAAGCGCTGGACATTCGCTTTTCATCCTCTCAATTTCATAAACAACAAACCCGCTACGAGAAGACAGTGAGTAGGACTTCCCTGTCAGTGGTTGTATGCACGTGACCACTTGAGAGCGTTTTGGGAGGGAGAGATGACTCTCCCTACTCTCGGCCGTACCAGGGCATTTGAGGGCTCTCTAGCTCAAAGAATTGAACAATACTAAACTATTGAATCATTTTAAGTCTGACTTATTTTAAAAGTTTGTTGAATTGTATACTATTCTTATAAAAGATTAGTTCAATTTAGAAGTTTAGGTACTGTTTTGAATTCTCAATCCGAAACTTGAAAATCTTACAATTAGCAGGTTTCCATTAAAACGTTCATTAGCAATCCATTATTGTGTACTTTTAAACTCAATAAGTCTTTAACAAAGAAGATACCTTTCTAATAAACGTAATCTGTGGAAATTATTCAAATAAACAGCTATAAGCTTGTAATAACTACTGGCTAATTTTGAGACAGATTTATGGATTAATAATACGACATACTTAGTGACATAGGTCGACTAACAGAGATATTACAGATAATATTTAACTATAGTCTCGCTGTACTGAGAAATGGTTGAAACTGGAAGTGATTGGATTATTGAATTACAGATCAATAATATGAAAAATTATCATTCCTAGTCTTGAAGAGATTTAATCCTGCATTAATTAGAGTGAAATGGTCAAGTATTCTATGTTTCTTGGTGTTTTTCTTATATTCTAAGGTTGATTTTTAATACTGACAAATGTACACTTAATTATTTAAAATCATTTTTATAATTAAGACATTTGAGGCTACTATATCTAATCGATTTATTGTAGTCTATGGTTAGATACAATATATATATATATATATATATATATATATATATATATATATATATATATATATATATATATATATATATATATATATATATATATACTGGGTAGCACTATACTTTAAGATGTTGATCTCAAGGATCCAGTATTCAGTGTGATATCTAAAGGCATTTGGGATATAGATTTGAAGTTCTAAAGAGTTCGACACTAGGATAAGATAGGTGTCCAGGGCTCTTCGATTTTCATCGTTCTCACACTAAAATTACTCGATGATATAAAGTATGAACTTCAGCAATAGTCACAAACTCCGCATAATGATAATAATCTGTAAAACCGAAATGATTACACTATAATTTTTGTAGTCTGAATTGTTTAAGTTGAGTTCAATAGGAAATTACGAAATAGAAGTTAACTAAAGCTGAGGATTCGACGATATTTATCTTAAACAAAGACAGACTGGATTTGGAAGGTGTATATACAATTTAAAATCTTAAATATAGTGTTATAATTATAAGCAAAGATGGATAGTAGCTAACAGTGGGATCCAGGACACGCGTTTTGTCTTATTTGGGATTCGTCAGCTAGATGTACCTGCATCCCATAGTTAGTGTTCACTCTGGGACTCGAACCTAGTTCCATTCGCTTCAAATGCCATCTGATTATCCACTTAGCTACTGAATCCTGATAGCTACTTGCTTGGTCAATGGGGCGAAGTTGAAATTAGTCCCAAATAGGAAGAAACCCATTTCCTGGATTCCATTGTTACCCACTATCCATCTTTGCTTATAATGCTTGTGTATTAAGGTAATATCGAGGCAATACGCACAGTATATATATATGCCAATGAGAGACTGATCAACTGCAGTGCTAAACAATAATAGAAAGATTCAAGTAAACGGTGAGACTGTAATTTATGGACGACCTTTAAGCGACGCCAAAGTGACCTTAAGAGTATCTAACCACTTAATAGGGCTAAATGAAGGTTATAAAGCAGTTTGCAGAATAAAGACAATGATTTCTAGTTGATGGTACGTGTTAAGATTTAGATTTATGATTCTCATCACGAACTGACATCAGCTAAAATGTAAAGACGCTATTTTAACGAATGAGTAAGTGAGTTTTGAGCCAAAATCCAAAACCTATTATCCTAAATCTGATTGCTTCATCCATAAATGATAGCCTTACCAAGTAAATTATATCAATTGAATTTATAATGTTATATAATGCTCATTACCATGATCTAAAACAAGTCTTGAATTCAATCAGCATACTGTTAACAATCATTACACTAATCACAATATAATCAGTTAACAAAAGAATCAAATATGAAATGACAGATCCTTTTGCATTTAACTAAACACAGCAGGATTATATACAGATGAAGTAAACGAGGAATTAATGTCTGTATTACAAGAGGAGAAAAAAAAAAGTAAAGATATTTTCATATGTATAATCTGATGAGAAGAAGACAATGACTATTGACAGTTAATAATCATCATCATTCTTTTTTATAAAAGAAAAAGAAAGAAAAGAAAAAAAGTAAAGAGAAGAAAAATAAAAAAATATGAAAAGAGAATCAGTCATGAGAGTATATGAGGAATTGTTGTTTATGCTAAAAATAATCTTTCAATAGTTCATTAATGATGACAACTGTTGAAAGTTTGTACTTGGTCAGTTGAAATAGACTATTAGTTTCTCTATTTTTTTCTTTTGAAGGGAGATTATTGTTATTCTTAGTAATTCCATCATTGTTTGTTATTGTGTAGAATAATAAAGTTTGTCATATTAGAAAGCAGTAGTGTGAGTATAGTAGTAATAGTAGTAGTGGTAGTAGTAGTAGTAGTAGTAGTAGTAGTAGTAGTAGTAGTAGTAGTAGTAGTAGTAGTAGTAGTAGTAGTAGTAGTAGTAGTAGTAGTAGTAGGAGTAGGAGTAGGAGTAGGAGTAGGAGTAGGAGTAGTAGCGTTAGCTACCAGAATAGTTTATATATATTGTAATGTACAATGACAATTTTTTCAGTTAGATATTGTTTTGTTTTCGACATTATTTCCATCTTGGAATTGGATTTTCGAACGTAGAACGTTAATTAATAAGTCTGTATTGAATTAATGACTTAATTAAGATAATATTCATCAAATGAAATATAGGATGGTGTTGTTTTTTTTGTTTTTTTTTTATAAAAAAAATAAAGATACAATCAAAGAGTCTGTAGAAAGTGATTTATAAATATAATTTTGAGATACTAACATAAGCTCACTAGTGACGGTCTCCAAGAGGTATTTCCTGGAGTTCTGGTGAGAAGCAGTGATCAGTGGAGTTCAACTCGGTCCGTTGTGAGATGGTAACTCACTGATGACAATGGTTGATGTGTGGCTAAATTTTGTGGACTAGTTGAAGTTGGATATTAACACCGTTGGATACCGACCAACTCAGTGATCTAATGGTCAAGCACTCACGCGAGAGACTGATAGGTTCTGGGTTTGAATATAGCTGGGCGGGATCATGGATGCACAGTGTTGAGGAGTTCCACAATGGGATGAAATGGCTCTCCAGTGCCTCTAGGTTTTTCATAGTGGTCTAGCTTTAATGGACTCATGATCTCAACTATTAAAAATACTAACATTCATTAGGAGCTTGTTGATATTCAAGACTGAAAATTGAATAATCTTTTAGTGGCCCTATATCTGACTCTGTTTGTATTGTATGCTGATTGTACGTATTTTAACTATCCTTGTATATTTCATCGACTTAAATCAACTTAGTGAATAACGGAATTATATAAGTCAAATACGAGGATGGATGTTTGAATGCTTATATTTTATACAATCATTGATCTGGAAAGACAATCAGCTGGACGAAGCGAAGGGAGCGAAGAAAGTAGAGCGAATCGAAATGATACGCAGTGGAGAAAGCGTGTGAGCCAACTCAATTTAATCGACATTTATAATACACAGAAACATGTTACAGACATGTGGTAAGTAAAATAGTAAATGTACACACATACGTTTACATAAAAGCAGTCAAGGGTGATAAGCGAATAAATGGCAAGGTCAAAATGTAGCTTTAGAAGAATAAATAAACTGGTTAGTTCAAAAGCTAGAATAAGCTATGTGA